GCTTGGTCTAAGAGTAGAAGAGTAGAACGTCTAAGAGACGTTCCTAAAATTTGATTGGGGATCTAGAATACCCTTTATTGAAGATTTCCATTGTACCTCTGTGGATCCCTTATTTGCTTAACCAGTCTGTAGAGGCAAGTTGGGAGCCATCACATTTCTTGACTTTGTCTTGAAAGTGCTTTAGTCTAAAAGTCCTCTTTGGCCACAAGTGCCTGAGTTGTTTCTCCAGAAGGAATAGGAAGCAAACACATGCAGGCAAGCTCCATTATGAGTAATCTGTCCTTAGAGAGGTATTGTGGCAGTGTGAGCAACTCGGGCTGTGGATTTGGACAGACTAGGACTTGGCCTTGAGATCATTTTCCATGGCTTAAAGGGAGCTTAAGAGCACTACTGACCCAGTTGTTCTGGAGTGACTTAGAATTACGAAATAGCACTGCACCTGCCAGGAGTGGGGTGGGCAAGAAAGTTACAGATAATGTTTTCCAGGTAGACTAAAAGGGTAATGTTCCCTGAGGCCAAAGCATGTACTAGGAGAACAAATAATATGTATTGATCCTAGCTGCCTTCCTGGTTACAATGGGAAGGGAATGTGAGGGAACACGACGTTCCTTCCTCCCCTGCAACACAAGTCACAGACATGATGATGTGGTAGCTGATAGGTCAGCATTAGCCCAGTGTGTTGCACACAGTAAATATTGAAGGATGAGTGTAAGGAGCTGTCATTCCAAGGTGGCATTCCTCTGCTCTTAGCAAAGGGACACAGTGGGATAATTTTAAAAATTGTGTCTGAAAGCCGCATCTTTTGAAGTTTCCAGTCGGTACGGGATCAATATTTAACATATCTTGAGCACCTCCCATTTTGTTGCCTGAAGGATGACACTTCCCTGGCTCTGCTACAATGCCACAAGAAAATCTTGGTCTGCCATTGCCGTTCTTTCTCAGTGCTACTTACGAACTGCACGCTGACCACAAGAACACACACACACAATCTTCCTCCCCACAGCCTTTTCTCTTTCTTTTTATTTCAGGATGTCTAACAATATCAGAAGATGGAACCCCAGAGTGGCCCATGACTCCAGTCAGCTGCCCTCCCCAGACAGAACTTTGGGCCTCTCTGGAAGCCTAAGTTGTGCAGCTTTTTCTGACAACTCTTCCACAAGACCCCTTGATCCTATCGCCACTGCAATCTGGGAATGGACTAAATGTCCCCACCTGAGGTGAGGGCCTCATAGCACCTCAACGGGTGCTGACAAGTTCATTTCCCTTTATGCTTCTCCACACAGCTGTGTTTCTGTTTTTGCTATGTAAAGCTAATATAGCTAGCCCTGTGCCAGGATTTAAAAGAAAGGATAAAGGAAGCGAAAGGCTGGGGCGGTAATGAGAGGCAGAGACTTATGTGCGGAACAGAGAACTAGATAGTTGGCTGCCTCTAAGATGATCAGGGGTCTATTGGAGTAAACTATAGAAAGAGTGTGGTATGCTGGAAGAGGGCAAGCTTGGAGTCATCAGCGTTCACTTTTTGACCTTAAACTATCTCCTGTGATTTACTGACTTGTTTGTTTTGTTTTTTCAAGACAGGGTTTCTCTGTGTAGCCTGGCTGTCCTGGGACTCACTCTGTAGACCAGGCTGGCCTCGAACTCGCAGAGATCTGCCTGCCTCTGCGTCCCCAGTGCTGGGATTAAAAGCATGTGCCACCACTGCCCAACTTCTGTGATTTTTAAATTCCACACTTGGGACCAGTAAGATGGCTCAACAGATACAGGTATTTGCTGCCCAAGCCTGGCAACACAACTTAGATCTTAGGACTCATGTAAGGTGAAAGGACAGAACAGGCTCCAGAAAGTTGGCACCTGACTACCACAACTGTGCCACGCAGGCCCACAAAGATATTTCATACGCATGCACGGTAATGCTAGAAATGAAGTTCCATATCTCCAAGAGGTCTTTAAAGTCCCTCTACTGTGACTTCAAAGGATCAAAGGAATGGCCTCCTCAGATAAATCCAGTCTCAGAGTTTTATATCCAATGGGAATAGTGTCTCGCTGCTGCTGATGATCATTATCATATACCACGCACTGAGTTTCGCGGTTTACATAGGATGCACCACGACAATTGGAACAGTTTTTTGTTTTGTGTGTGTGTGTTTGTTGTTGTTGTTTTCCAGAGACAGGGTTTCTTTGTGTAGCACTAGCTATTCTGGAATTCGCCCTGTATACCAGGCTGAACTTGAACTCACAGCCTGCCTCTGCCTCCCGAGTGCTGGAATTAAAGGTTTGCGCCACCACCACCCTGCAGAACAGATAATTTTATTCTTGTTTTATACGTGAGAAGATGGGGATTACAGTTTACCAAAAAACTTAGTTAATGCCAGATCCAGGATTCACACTAGATCTTTAGTTCCAGTGTCTGTGCTCTTGTTTCCCGCCAGCTCTAAAGATGCTTAAGAAACGTTGTGATTAAAGGAAAATGACTAACTTTCATTTTTGTGTTTCTCTCACTCTTGTTCTTAGGAGGTCCGCCCCTGTCCTCAAAGTTGGACTCCTTGCGGCTTCGGGCTTCGGGGCTGCCGGTGTGTGCAACAGCTTCCAGGTTCCGGCCAACCGGAACCTTTCCCAGAGCGACTGCGGCTGTGTGGGACTTGTGTCCGCTGAGTTCCTGGGGGTGGTGCCCGACCAGAGTGGCAGCAACTTGACCCAATAGGAAGGGGTCTTATTGGCTCGGCAGCCAATGAACTTGGTGAGGAAGAGGCGGTGATCTGAGCATGGAGGCAGCGACTTGAGGCAGCATGGGTCTGTGTCTGAGGTGGCGCCGGCTCGGGTTCCCACTCGCAGGGGTCCGCCGTTGCGAACTCCACACAGCGCGTGAGGTACGCAAAGCTCCCAGCATCAGCCCAGCGGAGTCCAAGGATCAGGCTGTCCAGCCTTCCCCGGACCCTGCCGCCCTACTCCAAAATCGAAATGTGCGGTCCCCTTGATTTTCACTCAGTCCCCACCTTAGAACCAACGCTACGCAAACAACCACGAACCCTACCGCCCCCATTCCGGAATAGTGGACCCGAGATGCCTTCTAACGTGCCTTTCTCTTCAGGCCTCTGTGCGAACTCCTCCACACTGGTTGGCAGAGCGATTTGGCCTTTTTGAGGAGCTATGGACCGCTCAGGTGAAAAGGCTAGCAAGTATGGCACAAAAGAAAGCCCAGACTATACTGGTATCACTTCCTGAAGGTCAAAAGGTAGACGCTGTCGCGTGGAACACAACCCCTTACCAGCTGGCCCAGCAAATCAGGTATCAAGCCATCCTCTATCTACAAGAATTATCTTCTTGTCATTTATTTTCTCTGTCCCTCATCTTCTTTTGTTTGTTTACATTTTTATTTTTCTATCAAAGGAGGTCTTTGGGCAGGAAAGGGATTGAATCAGTCATTTAATTGATTGCCATGAAAGCATAAGAACCTGAAACCAGAATTTGATCCTTGCAATCAACATAGTGGAAGGAGACTGTCCCCTGACCGCCACATACACTGTCGCATGTATGCCCCACCCATAAATAAGTAAAATAATAGTTTAAGGTTAAAAATTAAAAAGTATGGTAACGTTTTTGTAATCCCAGCACAGGACAGGCAGAGACAGGCAGATCCCTGCACTGTCTGGCCAGCTAGCTTAGCATGCTGGGGGAACTCCTTGCCAATGAGAGAGCCTGTTTCTAAAACCATGGCTGATGGCTCCCAAGGAAGAATACACACCTACTCCTCCAGAAAAGCATCCTTTTAAAAGAAAAAAAATTTTTTTTTCAGCTGCTTGTGGTGGTTCACACCTTATCATTTTATTTCTGTGTGTGCGTGCAAGCACATCCTTGTCTGATGCTCACATGTGTCTGTGCATGTCCACAGTACACACGTGGAGGCCGAGGAACAACATTTAGGAGTAAGTTCTTTCCTTCCACTGCTTAGATGGCAGAGACTGAACTCAGTTCATCAAGCTTGGCAGCTCACAAACATTGTGGGCACCCCAACTTTGAGCTGTCTTGATCCTTCTCCTCCACTTTCTGGGTTCTGAGATGATAGGTGTGCACCACCATTCTAGTTTACATAGTGCTGGGACTCAAGCCCAGGTCTTCTTGCATGCAGGTCAAGCACTCCGAGTTAGCTCCTCTTCCACCCTTACCTGTTTTTGTTTGTTTGTTTTTAAGTCCAAGCAGATATTTATTTGAGTTTAAAAGAAAAACTGCCAGGGCAGACACGCCATACATCTCAGCAGCTTCCCTGAAGAGAACAGGGAGAGAAAAGGACAAGCCATGCTATTTGAGTTGTCATGGAGGTCATAAAAAGTAAAGAGGCCAAGAAAAATTGCTCCTTTGTAACGCTGGCCACAGATGAGTGATGAGACCCAGCCAAACCTCATGGCGACTGCACTCCATAAACCTCATAAAGACTGCACTCCACCTTCCCTTTATTGAGACGGTCTTATTCTAACCCAGGCTGGCCTTGAACGTAGAGAAAACCTGCTTAAGGCTCCCACGTGCCAGGATTACAGGTGTGAGCCACTGTGCCTAGATAGCCTTTTCTGCCAAGCATGGTGTTACAGACCTGTAATCTCAGCAATTAGGAAGTGGAGACAAAAGATTCAGAGTTCAAGACCAGCCTCGGCCATGTTGCCAGCCCTGTCTTTAAAACAGAGGGGATGGGCTGGGGTGCTTTTTTCTTGAGGATTTGTCTTTATGGTTTCAGAGTCTACCCTTCTGCTATCCATTGGGAAAAAGAAATAGTAGGTTTTATTGCTGTGGAAACATAAGAAAGACAGCAGCCTCTTATCGTGTGGATTGTAGCACTTTCTTCATCATCCTATCTCCTCCACTACAGTTTAACACTGGCTGATACTGCAGTGGCTGCGGAGGTAAATGGGGAACTCTATGATCTGGACCGACCCTTGGAAACAGATTGTTACCTCAGATTTCTGACATTTGATTCCCCAGAGGGCAAAGCGGTAAGTTTCTCCCATAGGGTGAATGCAGTGCCTGTATTAGCTGAAGGAACTTTAAACAGGAAATTCTAATTTTTCTTTTGCCTCAGTTTCTCAATTCGAAACTGGGAAGGAGACTGATCACAGATTATATTGACCATCTGATTATTTCTGACAAAGCCTTGATGAAGGCTTTTACTTAGCATTGGTCGACTAAGTAAATGCCTTGTATGCTAGTGAAAGGGGAGAATACTCTGAGAAACAGGATAGTGTGCTGATTCACCCTCCTCAGATCTTGAGTGCATACAGTGTAAGCCATCTGTGATGTGTACTCAGTTCTCATAGGTTCCATAACTGAAGGCAAAACCTAGGGGCCTTCTGCTTTGCTTATTTCATGTCAGCTCAAATATCATAGACTTTGTTTATTAGAATCCAGAGAAAATGAATTTCTTTTCTCATGTAAATGTAAATAGTGAACAAATCCAAGAATAGTTCCATTACAGTTGATTCTTGGAACAAGAAAAAAAAAAATGGCACTAAGAGGCAAAACAGAAGGCTGGGATAGCTAATGGGTGAGGTCCTGCTTTGTAGCAACACACACACAGACAATAACAGCAGCAAAACAACTCTAAAGAACTTCTGTTTGCTTTTTGTTTGGTTGGTTTTCTGTTCTGTTTTGTTTTGTGTTCTGTTTGGTTGGTTTGGTTTTGTTTTTTTGTGGGTTTTTTTTGTTTGTTTGTTTTTTGTTTTGTTTGTTTTTCAAGACAGAGTTTCTCTGTGTAGCCTTGCCTGTTCTAGACTTGCTTTGTAGACCAGGCTGGCATCAAACTCACAGAGATCCACCTGCCTCTGCCTCCCTAAGTACTGGGATTACAGGTACGCGCCACCATGCCCAGTTCTGTTTTGTTTTTGTTGTTGTTGTTTTGTTTTTAATTTTGTTCTTGTTCTTGTTTTCGTTCTTTTAAGACAGTGTCTTGCTGTGTAGCCCAGGTTCAACCTCCAACCAGAACTTTCCCACCAGCCAGAACATTCAGTGAGGAACCATGTTTTTATAAGGTCACAGGAGCTTACAGGAACAGCATAGAAGGCCAGTGGCCTCCTGCCTCTGTGGCCCTGGTCCAGGAGACACTGCGGACATGTAGGGTGAACCCACACCTCCTCTCAGCAGAAGAAGAAACACTGCTGACCTTCTGCTTTCTTTTAAGCTCTTTTATTTTATTTGGGGCTGGAGAGGTGGCTCAGCAGTTTAAAGCACTGGCTGCTCTTCTAGAGGGCCTGGGTTCAATTTCCAGCGCCCACATGGCAGCTCACTCCTTCTGAGACTCCAGTTCCAGGGGATTCATGGCACCAGGCCTGCATGTGGTGCACAAGCCTGTGCAGGAAGGCAAAACACCCACACACAAAAAAGGTAAAATAGGTAAATCTTTTTATATATATATATATATATTTTTTTTTTTTTTTGTGTACATGTGATTACCTTCATGTTTGTGCATGTCTACATGCGTGCCTAGTGCCTATAGAGTCTAGAAGAGGGTATCAGGATTCCAGGTGGTTGTGAGCCGCCTGACATGGGTACTGGGAACTAAACTCGGGTCCTCTGCATGAACAAGTGTTTTGACCATTTAAAACAACTTTTTCCTATTTACAGACATCATCCTCACACATGTAGGCTATCCATTTTGTGGCAGCCGATCTTAGAACAACCATAGCAGCTTCCCCACCAGGCTCTCTGAGGAAAGCACAGAGCTGGGGCTTAAATGAGAGGAGCTCAGACCTTGTTCTTGTGCCTCCAGGTGTTCTGGCACTCGAGCGCCCACGTTCTGGGTGCAGCCGCTGAACAACATCTGGGTGCTGTTCTCTGCCGAGGTCCAAGTACAGAATCTGGCTTTTACCACGATTTCTTCCTGGGGAATGAGCGGTGAGCAGTCCAAGGAAGGAGATTGATTCTGGTGTGGTGTCTGGGGTCTCAGGGAAAGCTCAGTTCAGAGGAGAAGCTGAAGAGGTCTTGTAGGTACCAAGCAGAAACTTATATCCCTTCTCCAGTAGGTCTCTCTTCTGACCTAGAAACTCACCTTTTCTAGTCTTCATGACTTCAGGTGTTACTTCATCCCTCATTACTCTTGTAATTTTGTTTATCCATCTTCCCTTCTCTCAACACACATACTCCCTCTCCCTCCCTCTCCCCATCTTTCTCTCTCCTTCCCTTCCTCCCTCTCTGCTTTTCTCATTTTGTAGCCCAGGCTGGTCTTAAACTCATGATCCCCCTGCCTTGCCTATAGATTGCTTACCAAGGATGAGCAAGAGCCTGGCTTCAATCCCCTGTAACACACACACACACACACACACACACACACACACACACACACAATCTATGCTTATGTCTTAAGAGTTTTTCTTTCTGTGTAATGATAGATCTGTCAAAAGACAGGACTTTATACCCTAGCTAGCGTGTCATCACTCAGGGCTTGTCTCTGAAGAAACAAGCCAGCAGACTCCCTTTTCCAGGACAATCCGCAGCTCAGAGTTGCCCATTTTGGAGCGGATTTGCCAGGAGATCATAGCTGCTGCACAACCTTTTCGAAGGCTAGAGGCTTCCCGGGATCAGCTTCGCCAGCTCTTCAGGGTGAGCTGGCAGTGCAAGAGGAATCTGATAAGGCTGGAAGGAAAGGATAATTGCCAGGATGGCCTTGCCGTTTCATGCCTCCTTTCTGCCTTCTAGGAGAACCACTTCAAGCTTCATCTGATGGAGGAGAAAGGGACTGGCCCAGCAGCAACAGTGTACGCGTGAGTGAAGGGGCCTCTGAGAAGGCCAGAGCCGCCGTACAGGGAGGGTGGTGGCAGACGGCCTCTATTGCTCCAGAAAAAGAAATGGGAAGAGGAATTTGCTTTGGTCTGTCGTTCTCTGTCAGCAAACAGTTCCTTCCTCAGCACTTCTTCATTCTGTCAGTAGAAGCCTCAAAACAGAGAAAAGTGAGCAGGAGAAGCTGGGAAGCGCTAACTGGTCTCTTCATCTCAGGTGTGGCACGTCGGTTGACCTTTGCCAGGGCCCTCATCTTCGGCACACCGGACAGATAGGAGCACTGAAGCTGCTGACGGTGAGTTGTGGGTGATTAGGGTGATACTCCTGTGTTCACAGGCGAGAGCTGGAGAGTAGAAAGGGTGGTCCTGTCCTAGCCCCTTCTCTGCTCTCATGCTAATGTGGGAATCTAGGAAAAAGAGTTTTCTCCATTCTGGAACCCCAAAGTTTCATGGCAGATACTGGAGCCCCTGCCAGAGTCCAGAATTCAATTTAGAGTCCCTACTCCAGTTCTGCATTAAGGGAAGTAAAACAAGAGATCAGGGGCATTTTAGACAGGTTCATATGGGGAAGCACATATCCAGGAGGATGGGTGACACTGTGACAGATACTGGGGAGAGCACCCAGGCAAGGGTGTGCCTTCCAAGAAAGTGCTGTTCCTAGACCTCGTGCTCCTGAGTTGGGTGGAAGGTAGCAAGAGTCAGGCAGGTGTGCAGGAAAAACCTCCCATGAGCAGCCATCCTCATTCTGCCACTAATGAGCTGTGCAGCTTTGGCCAAATCTCCTTACCTGTTGCTTCTGTCTATAAAACGAGCATGACTAATCCTACCACTGGTAAAGCCACACCATAGAAGCAAAGCCAGCTAGCAAGGAGAGAGTATGTAAGGGACAGGCTATAAAATGTCAGTTCTTTCAAGGCAAGCATGCTAGTACATGCGTGTGACCCAGCACCGGGGAAATGGAGGTGGGAAGATTAGGAGTTCCAGGTTATCCTTGAGTGATACAGCAAGTCTGAGGTCAGCTTTGACAGCCTGAGACCCCATTTTAAAAACAACAGCGAAGGTTCTTTCTTATTAATACTGGGGGGAGGGTTGCTTTTTGGTTGATATGATTTTGTTTTGTTTTGTTTGAGACAGGGTTTCTCTGTATAACCCTGCCTGTCCTGGAACTCACTCTATAGACCAGGCTAACTTTGAACTCAGAGATCCTCCTGCCTCTGCCTTCCGAGTGCTGGGATTAAAGGTGTGCGCCACCATGTCCAGTCTTAAGAATACTATTAAAGAGCAAGTAGGGAAATTTGAGTTTCCTGTGGTTAGTCATATAGAAGACTGACTTTTCTAGTAGCTGTGTGGAATATTGATAGGGATTGGTGGGCAGGCTGACATTTGACTGTCTAGTTTTTCTCCTGAGCAGTCATTAATTAGGAGGTGGAACTAGATGTAGAGAGCAGGGGTCCTGGGGGTAGTGAGAGTGTAGAGAACAAGCTGGCTGTGTGAACTTGAGAGAACTTACCATGATGCAGATAATCCAGGGAGCAAGGTGCCATCCCACTGTGCCGATGGTAGGAGACACACTGAGAGATGAGCTGATGTTCAGGTGGTGACCTCTTTCGGGAGAGTGTCATAGACTTTACAGGAAGGTTGGTGCCTCCGGTCCTCCTCATCATCCCTTTGACTCCCTCTGCCCTCTCACAGAACTCCTCAGCCTTGTGGAGGTCCTCAGGAGCACCAGCGGCACTGCAGAGAATATGGGGAATTTCCTTCCCCAAGGCAGAGTTACTGAAGAACTGGGAAGCACGAAGGGAGGAAGCAGAGTTAAGAGATCACAGACGCATCGGGAAGGTACAGGGCCCAGAAAAGCGGGAAGGGCAGTAGTGAGGTGAAAGGTGAAGGAGTGTGAGGCGTCTTTTGTTGTTTTTTTTGTCTTGGCTTGTCTCAGTTTTTAATTTTTAGACAGGTCTGATGTAGCCTGGGCTGGCTCCTGCTTGAGCTGAGAATACCCTAAACTTCTGACCTTCCTACCTCCACCTCTCAAGTACAGGAAGGACAGGTTCAGACAGCAGGCCTGGCCAAAGAATGGACTGAATTTGCCGGAAGATTCACTCAACAGAGGGAGCAGCTCTGTCACTTGCTTTTGTAATTCCAGAGCCCTCCCTCCTTGATTGACAGGTGACATTCTTTCCCCAGGAACAGGAGCTCTTCTTCTTCCATGAGCTGAGCCCTGGGAGCTGCTTTTTCCTGCCACGAGGGACAAGAGTCTATAATGCCCTGGTGGCTTTCATCAGGGTAAGGAGGAGCAAGTTCCAGGGAAAGGAGCAGAGGCCAAGGTGTTTTCGTTCAGCTCAAGCATGGTGGCATGTGCCTATAGTCCCAGCACAAAGACACTAAGGCAGACGATCATGAGTTTGAGGGCAGCCTGAGTCACATAGCCAGATCCTGTCTTAAAGGAAAAAAGGGGAGTAGGGATTGAGAGCATTGGCCTTGTGGAGCCCTGTAACTCTTCACAGGCTATTACTGTTGTGTGGTCTGCAGTAACACAGCTTACCGAATGGTCATGGCATTTAATAGCTTGCGGCTTTGGGGCTTTGGTCAGCATGGTCTGAGCCCCCGGGAGAACCAAGAACCACAAAGCTCTCCTCCCCTTCTAGTTACATTGACTTTTGATGTCTGTGTCTACCTTCCAGGCTGAGTATGCCCGCCGTGGTTTCTCAGAGGTGAAGACCCCCATGCTGTTTTCCACAAAACTCTGGGAGCAGTCAGGGCACTGGGAGCATTACAGGGCAGACATGTTTTCCCTGAAGCCCCCAAGCACTGACGTTGTCGACAGCTCCCAGAGTGGCCACCCTGCCAGGTGTCCCAAAGACATGCTTGCTCTCAAGCCCATGAACTGCCCTGCACACTGGTGAGTTGGGAACCAGGATAACAGGTCACAAAAGCGACCTGTTTGTAAAGTAATAGAAAGTACCTTGGAGTCAAGCACTTGGGAGGCAGAGGCAGGCAGATCTCTGAGTTCTAGGACAGCCAGGGCTACACAGAGAAACCCTATCTCAAAAAAAAAAAAAGAAGAAGAAGAAGAAAAGAAAGTAGAATATTGAGGCATCTAATTTGGGCTTTGAATCTACCTCCAGTAGATTTAAGTTTACCTAAGTGAATTTTGGGAAATTGTTCCATTTCTTGGGCCTTTATGTCCTTAGGCATTGTCAAGGCTCTGGACCCATCACAGAATACGGACACACTAAATGATGTTTACTATTGTGTGATTGAGAGTTCAACTTTTTTTCCCTAGATAGGGTCTCACTATGCAGCCCTGGCTGGCCCCAGACTCACTACACAGACTAGGCTGGCCTCAAACTCACAGAGACCCAGTTGTCTCTGCCTGGTGGTAATAAAGGCATGTACCACCATGCCATGCTCAAAATTTGACTTTTGACCTCACAGTAATGATAGGACTGACAAGATTCAGTGGGAGAGCATGTTAAGAGGGAAAGAGTGATAGCTGGTATTACAGAGAAAATGGGTAATCGGTGCTAGGCATGGTGGCACATAGCTGTAATCTCGGAACTGGAGAGGTCAGTCTAGGCTACATAACAAGTTCTAGGTCATCCAGGGCTCATTTTCCCTATATCCCTAACCTTTTCCCATCCCAACTTCAGCCTGATGTTTGCTCACCGGCCCAGATCCTGGCGGGAACTGCCTGTGCGGCTGGCTGATTTCGGAGTCCTGCATCGGGCAGAGGCTTCCGGCAGCCTGGGAGGATTGACACGGCTGTGGTGCTTCCAGCAGGATGATGCTCACATCTTCTGTGCACCCAATCAGGTGGCTTTCCTTGTTCTTCAAAAGTGTCAACTTCTTTTGCCTTAAAGACAGAATCTCATGTAGTCCAGGCTGGCCTCAAACTGTATAGCTGAAGATGTCACGTCTGGTCCTCCTGCCTCACCTCCTGATCGATAAGATTTCTGGTGTGTGCTACCATACCTTTTTACTGTAGTGTAGCTACCTTCCCCTCTTGTTTTCCCCAAAACTACCCATCACCTCAGATTTCTAGTTGGCAGACAGCTAACATCCTGACTTCCTGTCTCTAGCTGGGAGCAGAGATCCGGGGCTGCCTGGATTTTCTCCGATCTGTTTATGCTGTTCTTGGTTTTTCCTTCCACCTGGCTTTATCTACTCGACCATCTGACTTCCTAGGGGAGCCTCACCTGTGGGACCAGGCTGAGCAGGTAAGAGAAAGGGAAGCAAGGCAGATAAACCAGTCCCCAGTGGAGAGGCAGGGAATGCTGTAGCCAGGGTCCTCAGATAAAGACATAAACTATGGGTGTTAGTTCTCAAAGACCAGCAGCTTGCCTTGCTCATTAGTCTCCTGACAGTCCTCATCTGTTCTCTCTAAGGTCCTACAACAAGCCTTGGAGGAATTTGGAGAACCCTGGGACCTTAACCCTGGAGATGGTGCTTTCTATGGGCCTAAGGCAAGCTGGAACCACACTTGAGAGTTGTATTTAGTTATCTTGTTTTATTAAGTTGTATCTACAAAAAATTACTGTAAAACTTCTGTGGGAGCCAGGTAGTGGTGGTGCATGCATTTAATCCTAGCACTTGGGAGGCAGAGGCAGGTGGGTCTCTGAGTTCCAGGTCAGCCTGATCTACAGATAGAGTTCCAGAACAGCCAGAGCTACACAGAGAAACCCTGTCTGGAAAATCTAACAGTAACTTGTGCAGGATATAAAAGAGAAGAGTACGTCTCTGCCCTTGTGGAGCTGGAGTGTCATGAGGGCTGTAGTAGGTAAACAGGCCCTGTCAGCACAGGAGAGCTGAGCTGTGTAGCTGTTATGAGAGTGCAGTGGGGAATAGCAGTACTCACAGGCTATGAAAGGCCTTCTGCAGGGACAGTTTCCAATCAGCATGTGAGGAGCCCTCCCTGGGAGGGAGAACTGTAGGCAGAGGTTGGAGGATGGGGTGAAAATCTGCATAGCAAGTTAGAATAAATGAAAAAGTAGAGGGCAAAAAGGACTTGGTCCAGGTCTGCTGAATGTAGGCAGAAAGCTGCTAGGAGCTTGCTGTGGGCACTAGCCTGTCATTGTAGCTGCTTGGGAGGCTCAGGATGGATCACTGGAGCCCTGGAATTTGTCAACCAGGGTAACACAAAGACCTCATCTCCAAATCAGGGCAGTAGGAGTAAGGGTTGGTGTAGAGCAGCTTGCCAGGTTGCACAGGCTCTGGGTCTGATCCCCAGCGCCACAGGAAAACACAAGGGTGAGCTATGAGGTTGCCGGGTGAGCTTACATGGGTCATACCTGTCTTGTTTTCTCAGGACACAGACTGGTTTGGAACTTTCTGTGTAGCTAGTCTGCCTTCCAACTTGCCCTCCTGCCCCCACCTTTGGGCACCCGGGTTACAGGTGTGCCTCACCACACCCAGCTTGGCTTTTGGGTTCGTTCAGTTTTGTTTTGTTTTTAGGGTTTTTTATTTGTATTGTTCTTTTTAAAGATTTTTTTCTTTCTGGGGATTGGGGAGATTGCACAAAAGTTAAAGCACTTACTGCTTTTGCAGAGGACCCGAGTTCATTTCCAAACACCCCTGTGTTGCCCTACAACCATACATCCTGAGTCCAGTTCAGGGGGTTGAGTGTCCTCTTCTGACCTCCACAGGCACCAGCTATGCATGTGGTGCGGATCAAACACACATCCACAAAAATAAAGATGAGCCAGGTGTGGTGGCTCACGCCTGTGATCCCAGCCCTCAGGGAGCCAGATGCGGTGGACCTCTGTGAGTCTGAGGCCTGCCTGGTCCAGAACAGTTCAGGTTACACAGAGAAACCCTGTCTTGGGGAAAAAAAGATTTTTTTTTTTTAAACTTACCTGTAACCAGGCATAGTGGCACATACCTTTAGTCCCAGTGGCAGAGGCGGATGGACCTCTGAGTTCAAGACTAACCTGGTCTAGTTCTAGGCTAGTGGGGACTACACAGTTGAGACCTTGTCTCAAAAACAACTGTGGAACGTGCACGGTGGGAGGCAAGAACCTGTGCCCAAAGCTGTCCTCTGCCTTCCGCATTCTCACCCCATACCCATGTACATACAAAGTAAAAAAATGTTAAAATTTTTCAAAACATAGGAAGTAAGGCAGTGGTGGCAAACACCTTTAATCCCAGCCCTCGGGAAGCAGAGGCAGGTGAGTTCGAGACCAGCCTAGTCTACAAAGCCAATTCCAGGGCAGCTAAGGCTACCCAGAGAAACCCTGTCTCGAAAAACCAAAATGTGTGTGTGTGATGAAGACTCTTGGTGCACACATATGACTGAAACACTCTCAAGACCAAGACAGGAGGATCTTGAGTTCAACACCAGCCTGAATCATATAACAAGAACTTGCTTCAAAATACCAGGGGAAAAAAGAATTTTGTCTCTTAAAAAGTCAAAATTAGGGGCCTTACATGGTGATTGCCTTAATCCTAGAATTTTAATCTTACAAGATAGATTCGAGCAGATCTCTGTGAGTTTGAGGCTAGCCTGGCCTATATGTTGAGTTCCAAACCAGCCAGGGCTACATAGTGAGACTCTGCCTCAAAAAATTAAATTAAAAAAAAAAAAAGGTCAGAGTTGGGCTCATCTCAGTTGGAGATAGCTCAGTGGCTAAGAGCACCTGCTGCTTTTGCAGAGGACTTGGGATTGATGCCCAGCACTCACATCAGGCAGTTCATATCTGCCTAACTGCAGTGCCAAGGGATCTGGCACTCTCTCCCAGCCTCCATGGGCACACAAACACAAGTGGCATTCTCTACACAGACACACACTTAGAATAAAGATAATAAATCTTTTTTCGTTTGTTTGTATTTTGAGAGAGGGTTTCTCTGTGTAGTCTAGGCTGTTCTGAAACTCTGTAGATGAGGCTGGCCTCACACAGAGGTCTACCTGCCTCTGCCTCCTGGGTGCTAGAATCAAAAGTGAGTGCCACTGCTGTCCAGCAAGATACTGTTTTGTTAAAAGGTGCCTGGAGAGATGGTTCTGTGTTAGGAGGGTTTGTTGTCAAACATGAGGACCTGCGTTTGGAGCCCAGCATCCGCTTAACAAGCTCCTGCTGGCCTCATGGATGCCCTAACCCCAGCGTTGTGGAGTTTAGAGACAGGAAGATTACTGGGGCTTGCTAGGTGCCAACCCAGTGGGGAGAAAAGCTCCAGGTTTAGGGAGAGAGCCTGCTGCTGTGCTCATATGCTCTTGATAAAAGCAACTTACAGGAGAAAGGGTCTATTCTGGCTCACAGTTCAGGGTACAGCTGACCCGCAGCAGCTGGCCTCAGTGTACCCACGATCAGGAACAAAGAGCAGTGGATGGGTCCGGTACTTACCTTAGGTTCTCCATTTTATACAATCCAGGACGACGTCATGGGAAGTGGCCCACACAGTTAGTTAACCTAATCAAGATAATCTCCAACAAGCATGCTCAGAGGTCTGTCTCCTAGGTGAGTCTAGGTCCTGTCAAGTTGACCCTTGACACTAACCATTACCCTGCCTCAAGGGAATGAGGCCAGAGACCAGTAGACACACAGACACAGACACACAGAGCCACCAGACACACATACTTCTCTAGCCTCATGCGCATGTGTATGTGCAGGCACACACTTAACAATTAAATGTCTCGTAGTTGGCAGAGGGAGCTGGAGTTCCAGAGCAGTTGCAACTACATAAGACTGCTGCCCCCCCCAAAAAAAAAATTTTTTTTAATAAAAGAAAACTATGGCTAAGAGGGCAAAGAGTTTGAAAATCCCTAAGGAGAACAAAGCAAAGGGGATTGCAGTTGGACCAGTTGAATCTTGAGACCGATTTCCATAGAGGCTTCAATCTCTGCTTTGGCTTTTGTGGCATGTGACATGTTAGGTGTCACTGAGCTTACTGCAGGGTTAAGGATGAAGGAGAAGAGAAGACTAGCAGGGGAGGGTTTACCACATCGATCTGACAGCAAAACGAGAGGCATGAGGGGAACGAGAAAATACTACAGCCGAATCTGGCAGTAAATGGGGGGGTGGGCCAACAGCTAGGAGAAAGGAGCGGCAAGGCCAGTAATAGGATGGTCAGTTCCAGGGAAGCAGCCGGGCTGAGTGATGGACTCAGAAGTGCAGCCACGGAGGGAGATGGCAGCGTGTGGTGTGGCGTAGCTGTAGGTCTCAGGGCCCTCACCGAGTGGAGAGGAGGGAAGGAGCACGGACCGTCGGGGTGGCATGACTCTCCGTATGGCCTGGGGCCTGGGCAGAGAAGAGCTGGCTGCTGAAGGCTGTGCGAGCTATTGGGTCTGGTGTCTGTCGCCCCTCCCCATCTCTTCTCCAGATTGATGTGCACCTCCACGACGCCCTCGGTCGGCCCCACCAGTGTGGAACCATCCAGCTTGACTTCCAGCTGCCTCGGAGATTCAATCTTCAATACAAGGGGTACAGACCCCCTCAGCCCTCCTTCCACTTTTGACTGCTCCCCAAACTAACCCCCTCCACACCCTACTCATCAGGGAGACTCCTTACTGACCGGAAGGTGATTTGGAGTGCTCAGTCTGGCACTCCGCCATGTCACTCACTCCTTTTTTCCTTCCAAGGCAGGCGGGGGCCCTTGAATGCCCTGTCCTTATTCACCGGGCAGTGCTTGGCTCCGTGGAAAGGCTGTTGGGAGTGCTGGCAGAAAGCTGCGGGGGGAAATGGTGAGTCACCGCACACTGGAGTTCCGCTCTGTCCTCCAGCCAGATAGTTCCTGACCTTCTTACCTGTCTGTTTCCTCCTCAGATCTCACTGGAGCTACACCTAAGCCTAATGGCTAAAGCCAAAATGAGTAATTTCCTGCTCCTGTTTCCTCCCAACAGGCCCCTGTGGCTATCCCCATTCCAGGTAGTGGTCATCCCTGTGGGGACAGAGCAAGAGGAATATGCCAGGCAGGTGAGTTGGGAGCAAGGAGAAGAGCAAAATCAGCAAGAGCAGGGTACCTGACACCATCCTGGTCAAGAAGAGGCTGGGGGGTGGGGTGGGGGGGGCGTGAAAGCCCTGTGTGCTGAACATTCTCCCTCTAAAAAGTGAAACCACTTCCTGCCTCGTAGAGAAGTGTGAGAAGCAGACTGATCAATAGATACTTAGCATTGCCAACAGAGCACTTTGAACAAGACTGGCCTTATCTAAATGTTGGTTTATTTCTCCCTTCTGAAGAGAACTGATGGCCAGCTATAGTAGCATACAGACCACCAGTACATTTGAAGCTGAGGCAGAAGGGTCACAAATTTGAATCAAGAAACCAGGGGCTAAAGAGATGGTTAAGAGCACTGACTGCTCTTCCAGAGGACCTGGGTTCTTCATTTGCCAGCACCCACATGGCAGCTCACACCTGTCTGTAATTCCAAAATCTGACACCTTCGCACAGACAGACATGCAGGACAAACACCAATGCACATAAAAATAATTTACAAAAATTAGGGGTGAGCCTAAAGATGTAGGCCAATGAGTATTTACCGAGGGTACACTAGCAATGATTCGGTCCCCAGTCAGGCGCGTGCCCATAGTCCTTACACTCGAGGGAAGCAGGAGCAGCAGAACAGTGTTTGTGCATGCGTTCATAGCTTCAAATGCGTGAGGTTGTCTTCTTTAAAAATTAAGACTATGTGGATGGGATGGGGGTAGTAGCACACACATTTAATCCCAGCACTTGGGAGGCAGAGGCAGCCTGTTCTACAGAGGTTCCAGGACAGCCAGGGTGGTTATACAAAGAACAAAAAGAAACAAAAACTAATGTGGACAGTCCTAGAGTTCAGCAGCTGGCTGGCTGGCTGACAGCAGGCTGAGCCCAGAGAATAACTGAGGGTTGGTCTTCCGTGTAAGCACATAGAGGGTTTTATGGGGTCAGAGATGGGAAGGCCTCAGTGTCAGAGAAGAGGCAGACACAAGGCAAACACCTGAGAGTAGGGTGCGGCGAGACAGGCATCTGAGGAGGAATAGTGGCCAACTCTCTGTAGCTGCTTCCATTAAAGTTTACTCGTCTCCAAATCTATGTCCCAGGTACAACAGTGCCTGCAGGCTGCAGGGCTCATCGGTGATCTCGATGCTGATCCTGGACTGACCCTCAGCCGGAGAGTCCGCCGGGCCCAGCTTGCCCACTACAATTTTCAGTTTGGTAAGAGAGGGTTAGACTTACACCGCAGAGCTCCAAGCTCTACCTTCTCTGTAGTAAATCTGTTGTTTGGCTTTGTGTATGTTGGATTAATTGGGACTCGTTAACTGGGCTTGTTAGGAGCTTGGCTAATCTGTCTTCCTTCCATTGCTCCTTCACACAACCGCCTCCATCCCTCAGAACAGTTTTCTTCTCATTAACCCTACCTAGATGTTTCTGTTAATTAACCAGGCCAGCCTCAGAGAAGCAGGGACAGGAGAGGGTTAAAAAGGCATCAGCAACAGAAACTTCCCAGCCAGACCGCCTGACTGGGGATCACACATGCCTGTTGCCTTGCCAACACTGAGAGCATGCTGTGCCACAGCCCCACCTCTGCCGTTGTCCCCTTCCCGTATTGTACCCATCCCCCCAGGTCACACACATGGTTTTGTGTGTAGCTCTCCATCTGTCTGTCTTTGACTGACTCTGGTCTCTCCCAGCTCTGCGCTCCTGACCTACAGTGATAAGGCAAGTAGAGCCTGTACCATGTCCTTATCTCCTTAGAATGGATGACAGCAGCTAAATACTAAACATGCACTTCTGTAGCCATGTCTAGGCTCTGCTTCCATCCTCCTACAGAGTCAGACTTTGAAATTTCTGCAAAGCAAAAGCAAACAGCCCAGAGGGTGAGTTTGTCCTAGGTTGCACGTCTTCCTCTTCCTGCAGTGGTTGGCCAGAGAGAGCAGAGCCGAAGAACCGTGAACGTACGGACTCGAGACAACCGACAGTTGGGGGAGCGAGGCTTGGCCGAGGCTGTGCAGAGACTGTTGGAGTTACAGGACTCCAGGGTCCCCAATGCGGAAGAAGTGTTCTGACTTCTATTCCCTGCTGAGCTGTGGACTGGTGAGAGCTGTCCATCCTTAGCACAGGAGACTCCCCTCACCTGGCAGCCCAGCATATCCCTGAGTCCTCATAACTGCTCTCCTGGAAATAGACTTGGTGAGGAATTCCCCACAGGAAGGAACACTGTGCTTGAATAGAAGGAGAATAAAAAATAAACTTAAGCTGAGGCTGTGTGTTCATCTGATTCTGAATGAGACCGGGTTCTGCTCTGCCTTCCTCTGTCCCAGAGCTGAGGCCTTGAAAGGGATACTGAGGCCTCTGACCAGCAAGGGAGAAGCCTTAGCTTCCCCCCCCACAACCCCAAGTAAAAATCCTTAGTGCCCTTTCCCCTCTTCCATACAGGAGATTGTCAGATCCCTTCCCTATAAAGGATAGTATACAAATGGGAAACTGAGGCACAATTTAAGGGTTCAGATGTCAACTTGCTCCATGATTCTCTGCAGCTTTGGAGGTCCTATGAGTGTTCCTGCCATCACCTCCATTCTTCCCAGTCTTGTAAGGAGTTTGGGAGGAGTGGCTGTGAGAGGAGGAGCAGCTGGGACTGAGTCATGGCAGGAAACAGGAGGGCGGGAGATAGATATAAAGAGAGACAGCAGGCCTTGAAGTTCACAGCAGCAGTGGCAGCAGCCAGAGGAGCAGCTTGCAGCAGCGCCCAGCCCTTCAAGTCCAGACGTGCCTGGGACTACCAGCTTCTGGGTGGCCAGTGCCCAGTTCTTGCCCCAGGATGGGGACCATGTCCAGAGCAGCCTTGGTCTTGGCCTGCTTGGCTCTTGCTTCTGCTGCCTCTGAGGGAGGTGAGTCGGGGTGGGGCCAGCGGTTGCTTAGGAGCCTGCTCCAAACAGCTCCTCACCAGTTGGGCAATTGGCTTCCTTTTTTGAACATGCTCACAGTGGGCTGGGGCACCTGAATCGTTAACAAGGGAGGCTGAGGCATGAGAGGGATACCTAGAGATAGTTGCTAAGAAACATGAAAATTGGCGTTAAATGGACCACACAGGACAGGTGCATACACAGGCTGATGGGCCTCTTGTGTGGAGATGTGTGAGGAGGGTCGATGAAGCAGGCGAGGAGGAAAAAGGGGCCCTCAGGCTGCGCAAACTCAGTCTACTGACTCACTGCTTAGAGGAGCAGTTAGGGCTGTCCATCCAGAGTCGCCCTTTGTTGTGCACATACACACTGCTTTGAACGCTGAAAAGGGGTGCCAACTCTAGACAGGAGGAAGACTCGGTTTGTTCAATAGAGCCTGCATCTGGTCAAGCTCCATCTCATTGTCCTGGCCCCTAGGCTTGTGCCTTCAGTTCAGCTCCAGATGGCCTAAGCTCTCAGTCAGACAGCTAAAGCTGGGCCAGTAAGATGGCTGAGTGTGCAAAGGTGCTTGCCCACAAGCCTGGTGACCCGAATTCCATCCCAGGAAGGAGAGAACTGACTCCCACAAGTTGTCCTCTGACGCACACACACTCACTGTGACACACCGGCCCCTCCACACACATTAGATGGATGGATGGATAGGTAGGTAGGTAGGTAGGTAGATAGATAGGTAGGTAGATAGATAGATAGATAGGAAGATAGGATAGGAAGATAGACAATTTATTATTTATTTCATTTTTTTTTAAGAAACTCAAAGTAACCTAGAACCCCTGCACAGATGTAGCCCATGGCAGCTCAGTATCCAACTGGGTTCCTTAGTAATGGGAACAGTGACTGTCTCTGAGATGAACTCAGTAGGTGGCTCTTTGATCACCTCCCTCTGATTGGGGAGCAGCCTTGCCAGGCCACAGAGGAAGACCATGCAGCCAGTGCTGATGAGACCTGATAGGCTAGGGTCAGATGGAAGGGGAAGAGGACCTCCCTTAGCAATGGACTTGGGGAGGGGCATGGGAGGAGATGAGAGAGGGAGGGTAGGATTGGGAGGGAATGAGGGAGGGGGCTACAGCTGGGATACAAAGTGAATAAAAATAAAATAATTTTTTATTTTATAAAATAAAATAAAGTGAATATATACATATATATGTATATATATACATATGTGTGTGTGTGTGTATATATATATATATATACACACACACACACACACACACATACACCTGGGGCTGGAGAGATGGCTCAGTGGTTAAGAGCACTGTCTGCTCTTGCAAAGGTCATGAGTTCAATTCCCAGCAACCACATGGTGGCTCACAACCATCTATAATGTGAACTGATTCCCTCTTCTGGCAGGTGTAAATGCAGATAGAACACTCATATACATAAAATAAATAAATTTAAAAAAAAAAAGTAAGAATCTGAGATTGACCGGAAGGGTGCTTAAACACTTGGCTGAGCTTCCTACCCAAAGGCCTAAAGGTTTCTAAAAGGCCTATAGGAGGAGGTTTGGGGAGAGGTGGGTCCTCTGAAACCCAGAGGACCATCAGAGCATTGGCGATGGGGGCGGCAGCCACAAGCCCCAACCAGAGGGGATACTGACTGACAGGAAACTGGGCCCCTTTTCCCTGCCACTTTTCCTTTAGACTCAGGCTTTCCCAGAGCCCAGCCACTCACATGAAGGTTTGTGTTGGAGGTTGGAGGGGAGGTGCGGCACAAGCCGTCCCCACAGTGGACTTGCTGCACTCTTGGCCTCCAGTCCTTTACCCCTCAGAACTTCCCGTGACTTGTTCTTCCTTCCTCCAGCCTTCAAGGCTTCAGGGCAGAGAGAGGTGAAGCCAGAGCCCCTCTTCCAACACTTTCATGAAGGTAAGAGCTTCCTACCCAAGGACTAAGCAGGCCGACCTCTTTAGCTGTCCGGGTCAGAGGAGGACAGGGCAGTCAGGGCAGTGTGGCTGCCGTGTTTGCAGGGAGCAGGCACCAGGCTGGGGGTGTAGGAGAGGCAGTCGGCTCTGAGCGGCTTCCCTCTTGCCTCCAGTAGGCTACGCAGCGCCCCCTGCCCCACCACAAGCCCAGAGACTCCGCACAGACCACCTGGAAGCCTCTTTGCATGACCCTCCCCTCTTTGAGGAGCAAAGGGAAGGTGAGGCCATCACAAATTGCCCTCTAGACCTCTAATCTGGCATACATCCTGCCTTCGGGTGGGGAGGAGGGGCCCCCACAGATGCTGTCTGGCTAGAGGTGGGAGCCTGCTCACGCTGCCCACTCTGCAGTGCAGCCCCTTCTGTCTCCAGAAGACGGCCCTGTCTACAAGGAAGAGTGGCCGGCTTTCCTGAGCCCTGTTGAAGACAAAGGTGAGCGCTCCCCTGTTCCCCTGCCCCGGCCCTGACACACGTGTGCCTGACCTCCACCCTTCTTGCAGTGGGCTATCCTGTCCCTCAAGAAGCCATCCCCCTGCAGGAGCAGCAGCCCGCCCTCCAAGTTCCTATTGAACAGAAGGAAAGTAAGTGACCGCTCTTTCCACACAGCATAGGCTTTGGGCCAGAGTGGGTGGGGCCTCGGCCACTTGCTGCCTGTGTGAACTGCTCACATCCCTGAGCCTGTCTTCATCTGTGCCCTTGGATGCCTTGCTGGCACCCACACCACGCTGGGTTCCATGCCCGGCACATCAACTGGGTGTGGTGGCACTTGCCCACAATCCCAGCACTTGGGAGAAGGCATAAACACTAGACATTCAAAGGTTATCCTCAGGTCGGGTGACTGTGGTGCACAGCCTTAATCCCAGCACTTGGGGAGGCAGAGGAGAGCGGATCTCTGTGAGTGCGAGGCCAGCCTGGTCTATAGAGCAAGTTCCAGGGCAACCTGGTCTATACAGAGAAGCCCTGTCTCACTCCCCCACTCCTGCCCCCCAAAAAAGGCTATCCTTAGCTTCATACTGAGTTCAAGGCCAGCCTGGGATACATGAGGCCCTGTCTTTGAAAAAAAAGGAGGAGGAGAAGGGAAGGAAGAATGAAAATAATGCCTATTTAACAGTTATATGATTAAATGATATAAAACAGCATGTTTTTCACTTGCCTGTCTACTGAGTTCCTTCTCACTGGGAGCTAGCCGGTACCTATAGCGTGTGCATCCCAACAAGCCTGTTCACACAGCTGCTTCTACCCCAGTAGGCCCTCCTGTCCAACATCAGGAAGAGATCGTCCAGGCCAGCCAGAAGGAGGGTGAGTGACTGTGCTGCTCCCCAAGCTCAGAACCCTGGAGAGAGCCGCAGCCCCCACCTCAGGCCTGCAGCCTCCCCCCTCCCCCAACCCCCCAGCCTCAGGTCCCAGCTAAGGCCTGGACGTACCAAGTTCGGCATCAGTTACCAGCTAGCACCCAGCCTTAACGTGTGCTCCCACTGTTCTCCCTGCTCTAGAGCCGCCAGCCGCCCTGGGCGCCCAGCGCCCCCCGCAGCCCCGGAGTCCGCCCCTGCAGTGCCAGCAGGGCCGGAGGGGAGTCTGGGGCCACCGGCTGGACGGCTTCCCTCCTGGACGGCCTTCTCGGGACAACCTGGCCCAGATCTGCCTTCCCGAGCGGCGGCACGTGGTGTACGGCCCCTGGAACCTGCCGCAGACCGGCTACTCGCACCTCAGTCGCCAGGGAGAGACCCTCAACTTGCTGGAGACAGGCTATTCCCGCTGCTGCCGCTGCCGCAGCTCCACAAACCGCCTGGACTGCGCCAGGCTCGTGGTAAGGCTCTGGCTCTGTGCTGGGGCGTCGCCTAACCCCAGGAGAGCGCGTGTGCGTGCGTGCGTGCGTGTGCGTGCGCGTAAGGGTAGGCACCTCCCCAGGTCCGGGGGGCCTGTTCCCGTCTCTGGCTCCAGCTCAGAGGCCCCCCTGTGCGCCCCGAGACAGCACAGCCATGCTGCTTTCCCCACCCGCCGAGGGGCCTTTCCCGCAGCCTGGGCTGCTGCGCTGACCCAGCCCTGTCACTCTAGTGGGAGGACGCGATGACCCGGTTCTGTGAGGCCGAGTTCTCCGTCAAGACCCGACCCCACTGGTGCTGCAAACAGCGTGGGGAGGAGCGGTTCTCTTGCTTCCAGAAGGAGGCTCCTGGCCCCCACTACCCGCCGCGGCCGTGCCCCGGCCTCCAGACGGGCATGTCCTCGGGGCCCCAGCTGGCCTTCCCCCCGGGGCTGCCCACACCGGACAATGTCAAAAACATCTGCCTCCTGAGACGCCTCCGCTCCGTGCCACGCCACCTCCCGGCCACCGACCCCGTCCTGAGGCAGCTGCAGGCCCTCACCCGGCTGGAGACGGCGTTCCAGCCCTGCTGCCGCCAGGGCCACAACCACACCTGCGCACTGAAGGCCGTAAGTGGCGTCCCGGCCGCCCCCGGAGCCCGCCCGCCCGCCCGCCCGCCCAGCTCCAACTGCTGACTCTACAGCGGTCCGTCCGTCCTCCCGCGAGCACGTCCACGTTCGTCCGCTTGTGACTGTCCGTCCATCCACTTGTCTGTCCTCTGAGTCTGTTCACCTTGAGTCTCCGTGTCTCGTCCTGAGCTCGTCCTGACCCCGCACACGCACCTGTCTGCCGTCCGTCCATCCGTCCGTCCAGCTCTGCCTCGGCTGACCCTCTGTACCCACCATCCCAGCTCATCTCCAGTGGCCGCCTAGGAGCCTCCTCTGTGTTCCTCCCTCCCTTCCCAACACACACCTCCACAGTGGCCTCCTGGCCTTCTGGTCCTTCACCCTCCCCTGTCGGCCCCCAGGGCCTCATCTCATGGCTCTTGTGAGGCGGCCCTGTGGCCAGGCCGCTGACTCCTCTCTCTGTCCGCAGTGGGAGGATACCCTGGATGGATACTGCGAGCGGGAGCTGGCTATCAAGACCCACCCCCACCCGTGCTGCCACTACCCTCCTAGCCCTGCCCGGGATGAGTGCTTTGCAGGCCTAGCTCCCTATCCCAACTATGACCGGGATGTCTTGACCCTTGACCTCAGTCGAGTCACCCCCAACCTCATGGGCCATCTCTGTGGAAATGGAAGAGTTCTCACCAAGCAGTGAGTCTTGCCCAGATCTTCCTGACACTCTTGCTTACCCAAAAACCTCTTCCTTCCTTGGGGAGGACAAAGTCATGATCTCCCGGTTCCAAAGAGTCTCACTCTGTGGCCAAGGGTAGTTTTGATCCCAGGTAACCGGGTTATAGGCACCCGCCACCCCTGACAGCCTTTGTTTGGATGCTGTGGGGTGCACAAAGACCCTGAGCCCCACCCCCTTCATGCCCACCGCAGTAAACAGATCCCCGGGCTGATCCGGAACATGACCGTCCGCTGCTGTGAGCTGCCGTTTCCCGAGCAGGCCTGCTGTGGTGAAGAGGAGGTGAGTGTGCGGGCACCCGGAGAGGAGCGGGGAGAAGCTAGAGGTGGAGGGCACCCTTCTTTTTAGCACCTCAGACCTGCTCTTAACCCTGCCGTGGGCCTCAAGCCTATCCTTTCCAGATGTGCACATCTGCCAGCCTCGAGGAATCTTGCTGTGCTAGGCCAGCCTGCAGTCTCTGGCCTCAGGAGGGAATCCAGTGGGCAAGCAGTGAGGCTGAGCGGGGGAGGACCTAGGGCACCACGGCTAACCTCTGACCTCCCCCACGCCCCACTATCTCTCCTCTACATTCCTTTTTCAGAAACTGGCCTTCATTGAGGATCTCTGCGGCCCCCGGAAGAACTCCTGGAAAGACCCTGCCTTCTGCTGTAGCCTGTCTCCTGGGGATGAGCAAGCCAACTGCTTCAACACCAACTACCTGAGGAATGTGGCTTTAGTGCCTGGAGACACTGAGGATGCCACGGGCCAGGGCCAGGGGGAGCGGGGCCCAACTCAGGGAGCAAATGTCAGCCCCAGCCCCAGATCCAAGAAGAGTGAGTCACCGGGAGCCTTCAGAGCCTCAGAGGATTAGATGGCCCCCCTCCACCCTCCTTGCACACTCATTATAATAAATGCCTCTTGGATTTGGCATCCTCATTGTCTTCAGCGCACAGACACGCCCTCATGTACTCCCTAAGACTGGCCCAGCGCCCTGCTCCCACTGACTGAACGGAAGATGATCTTTAGGCGGTGGGATCATAGCTGAGTGGCTTGACTTCCCTTGTCATCATGACCTTAATCAAACATCTTTAAAGAACACCGCCCTGGCACCCAGCTGTTGGGATTCAAGGTGGAGACGATGTGGTGTGTTCTTGATGACCGACAGCCCACCCTGACATTTTAATTTTGCTGCGCCTGATTAAACGAATCCCAAGTTGTGCCAATGACCTACCTCCAGCCCAGGGTGTGTGGTCTCTTTGGGTGTTTGTGAATGTGCCTGTACGGAGCCTGCACAGACACGGCTGGGAGGCCAGAGGTCAAGGCCCAGAGCCTTTGTCTGTGCTCTCCAACTCACTGAGGGCCTCTGACAGTCTGGAACCCACCAACTCTGCCCAGGGGCTCTGTCTTCAGGATCCACCTGCCCTCAGCCTTACAGGCAGATCTTCAGCACCTCTGGCCTTTACTTGGGCGCATGGCAAGCATTTACCGTCTCCCCAGCCCCCGCCTGACCTTTTTAACCACTTCTGATCCCTAAGAGCTCCCACTTTGGCTCATCAATTTGCTCACCGATCACGCTAGACATATTTGAAGAGCACATTGCCTCCGCCCTGGCTCTTCACAGTCCAAGAACCTGTTCGCAGGTGTGACAAGGGCACGGGGAGGACAGGGTGCCTGCTCAGGGTGGGGCGGCTTGAACTGGAGGCAGCCCACACTGGGATGGCATCTCATTCGAGTCGCAAAGCTTCCATACGGGAGGAGGGCCGGAGCGGCAGATGAAAGCCTCAGGCGCGAGCCCCAGGCCTTAGTCCGCAGCGTCCGCCTTGGCGAGCCGGACCGATAGAGGCCACTAGGAGTCTCCAGCGGAAGGCGTGCTTCTGAAAATGTCTAGTCAGCAGCGTGCCAGGCAGGGGAGCCATGTTCCCCGGCGAGAGGGCCCAGATGAACCTGACGGGGGGAGTGATGGAGACCCTCGTCCCTCTGGAAGCTGTCCCTGAACCCCGAGCCCCAGGGATGGGCATGAAAGAATACTCCTAGGGAAGGGGCTTCTGTGTGGCCCGCGTGGCAAATGTCTTTCCGGAAACACAGACTCCCGAGTCCCGGTTCCGGCAGAGAGGTCATGCACCCTAGCAAGGACCCAGCCCCCACCAGCCGCTTCCTGCCGACCACAGCCTTTTATTTATTTTTTTGGCCAGTGGTTGTTCCTAAGCAACTACTTAGCAGATCCTTCCTGCCCCAGGGCCCGTAAGCAGCGATCACAGCCCCACCCCAGCCCCGGTCCGGAGCTCAAGAGCTCTACCACGCCTGCGCAGAAGTCCCAAGGCCTCAGACCACGAGAGAGCTGGGGAAACTGAGTCACGCGTGTAGACCCTTCTGTCTTTAGCCGGCTGTAGCGCAGGGCCACATACCACAGTCCGACGTCAGAGGTTCACAGAGTGCGGGGAGGAGAGAAGGGAACTGGAAACAAGCAACCGCCAAGAGGGAAGCAGTAACAGGGGCAAAGATGGAGGCTCGGAGGGTTAGTGACGAGGCGGCGAGTTTGAACGGCCTGGAGAGGATCGCTGCTCCCGAGGAAAGGAGGACGTGTTCAAGTTTAGAGGATTAGATGTGAAAGTAAACTATAGAATTTAAGTTTCTGGGAGACACAGGAATCAGATGACTGAGAACTCAACTCCACAGAGCAGTTAAAGCTGTGGGGTCGGGTGGGGGCGCTGGAGAGACGGCTCGGCAGTTGGGAGCACTGGCTGCTCTTCCCGAGAACCCGGAGTTCAGTTCCCAGCAACCGCAAGGCAGCCCACAACTGCTGTGACTCCAGTTCAGGGTGTCACAGAAAGACAGAAACACGTGCAGGCCAAACGCCAATGCATGTAAAATAAGAATGTAAAAAGCTTGAGGGGCTGGAGAGATGGCTCGGTGGCTAAAAGCAACGGCCGCTCTTGCAGACAGAGGACCTAGATTTGAGTCCCAGCATCCGCCGTGGCTCACGACTCTAACTGCAATAGGGGATCCGAAGCCGAAGCCCTCTCCCGGCCTCTGCTAGCACCAGACTCATGCAGACTAAACGCACAGAATTAATCTTTCTAAAATTAACAACAAATAAATACATTAGTTCAAATTTTGTTGGAAGGGATTGGAGAGATGGCTCAGAAGAAGACCAAGTTCTGTTCCCAGGACCCAGGAAGCTCACCTCTACAAGCAACTACAGATCCTGGGGTCCCAGTTCCTGCACCAGGACATGCACACATGCGGCAGACATGTTCAAACACCAACAGTTAAAATGGTGGCTCCAGGACGGTTTTTAAAATTTATTTATTATGTATACAGTGTTCTGCCCGCGTGCATGCCTGCACGCCAGATGAAGGTACCAGATCTCATCACAGATGTTTGTGAGCCACCATGTGGGTGCTGGGAATTGAACTCAGGACCCCTGGAAGAGCAGACAGAGCTCTCAACCTCTGAGCCATCTCTCCAGCCTCTGTGGCTCCAGTACTTAATCCCAGCACTCAGAAGGCAGAGGCCAGTGGATCTTAGTGAATTTGAGGCCAGCCTGGTCCACATAGTTCCAGGACATTCGGAGCTATGTGAGTCCCTGTCTCAAAAATAAATAAATGGGGGGGGGGGGGGAAGAGGGTGGTGACAAAAGCCTTTAATCCCAACATTTGTGAGGCAGAGGCAGGCAGATCTCTGAGTTGGAGGCCAGCCTGGTCTACAGAGCAAATTCCAGGACAGCCAGAGCGGCATAGAGAAACCCTGTCTTGAAAAGCAAAAACAAAGAAGAAAGAAAGAAAGAAAAGAAATGAATGAGTAAATAAATAAATATCTAAACCTGACTGTAAGAAAAGTACCAGATGAGGTGAGAGGGGAAAGGCCTGCAGCCCTGGGAAGGTTGGGATTAGAGCATTGCTTGAGTTCAAGGCTGGCCTGGAAGGCTGGATGTAGTGGCAAAGCCTTTAATCCCACAGAGTCTCTCCGAGTCTGAGGCTAGGCTGATCTATGAAGTGAGTTCCAGGACAGCCAGAGCTATGTAGATAGGTCTGTCACAAAAACAAAAAGTCAACACAAACAAGATGGAAACAAATAAGGCGGGCCTGGAACTCACTGCGTCCTTGTCTCAGCCTTTCAAGTGCCACAGAGTTGGGATTACAGGAACCCCCACCAAGAAGTGAGCTCAGTTTGACCCTACCCTGAACCACGCACACACACCCATGGGGGGGGGGGGGTGTCAAATTACCATTAGATGGATGTCCTAGTTTGTTTGTCACAGCAATCTGTGATAGACTTGAGAGGTTTGTGGTGATGGAAAATCTAGACAGGAATTCAGGAAACTGAAGCTACTTACTGGCTTGCTCCTCACGGTTTGCTCAGCTCTCAAACAATCCAGGACCACCAGCCCAGGGGTGGCACCACCCTCCCACATCAACCATTCATCAGGAAATGCCCCACACACTTGCCCACAGGCCAGTCTGACTGAAACACTCTCAGTTGAAGTTCCCTAGTCCTGGATAACCCAGGCTTGCGTCAAACTTGTCAAAAATTGAAACTGCCATCCTTCATTGCCAATAACACCTTACAAGTTCCTCAGATTCCGCATTAATGATATAGACGAAATGAAGAGGGAAGGGAACAGCCAAGTATGGTATCCTGTACCTGCTACTCAGGAGGCTGAGGCAGGAGGATTGTACAGTCAAGGCCTGTTTGAACTATGGAGTGAGCTTAAGACGAGCCTGGGAAGCTTAGTGAGACTCTGTCTCCAAATAAAAGAGAAAGATGGCCAAGGCTGAACCTCAGACCTCAGGACCAGTGCACTGACTATGTGAGGCTCTAAATTCAACCCAAAGTACCACAGGAGCATGCGCGTGGTGGCTCACGCCTGTAACAGTAAACGTGGAGACTGAGGCAAGAGGAGCCGTAAATTGGAAGATGGATGGATGGATGGATAGATATATAGATAGATAGGTGGATGGATAGACAGACAGATAAATAGACAGACAGACAGACAGACAGATAGAGGCTGGAAAGAGGCCCAGAGGTTAAAAGCCTTGACTGCTCTTCCAGAGGACCTGGGTTCAATTCCCAGCACCGACATGGCAGATCACAACCATCTGTAACTCCAGTTCCACAGGATGAAATGCCTACTTCTGGCCTCCATGGACACCAGGCATACATCTGGTAAACAGACAGACATGCAGAAAAAAACATGTAAAAAAGCTAAATTACAGTTTTTAAACTTATAAAATGTGTGTGTTTCCCCCAGGGCAGTCTGGGTTATACAGGGAGATCTGTTTCCAAAACAAAAACAACTTAAAAGCACCATCCAGATGTGATATTAATATTTTAGTTTTAATAATTCATTAAATTCAACTAAGCCACAATTATCCCTCTAGATTTACCGGAAATTACTTTTGTGTCTTCTAGTTGGAAATAGAGGATGGATGAGGCTTCCATGATCCTATGCACACAGATCTTTGTTTCAAGATGACATCTACGCTTAAATTGAATAAAATTCATTTTATAATAATAATAAAATTATGGCTAAAAATGGTAACAGTCATCTGAACCATTGGAAGTAATGGTGCCTGTGGAGGCGTGCTTCACAGTCCAGAAACCTCCAATTAAAAAAAAAAAATCCCTGAAAAGCAATAAAGCAAAGAACAACAAATGGCCTAATAGTAATAATAATAATAATAATAATAATAATAAGAAAGAAAGAAAGAAAGAAAGAAAGAAAGAAAGAAAGAAAGAAAGAAAGAAAG